AATGTGGCACATATACATCATGGAATACTATGCAGCCATAAAAAAGGATGAGTTTGTGTCCTTTGTAGGGACATGGATGCAGCTGGAAACCATCATTCCCAGCAAACCATCGCAAGAACAGAAAACCAAATACCGCATGTTCTCACTCAGAGGTGGGAATTGAATAATGAGATCACTTGGACACAGGAAGGGGAACATCACACACTGGGTCCTATTGTGGGGATGGGGGAGGGGGGAGGGATAGCATTAGGAGATATACCTAATGTAAATGACGAGTTAATGGATGCAGCACACCAACATGGCACATGTATACCTATGTAACAAACCTGCATGTTGTGCACGTGCACCCTAGAACTTAAATAAAAAAAGGATATTATTATATCAAAGAGACATCTGCACTCCCATGTTTATTGCACTATTCATAATAGCCAAGATATGGAATCAACCTTAGGTGTCCAACAACAGATGACTAGATAAAGCAAAATTTGGTGTATACACTCAATGGAATATTACTGAGCCATAAAAGAGAAATGAAATCCTGTCATTCTCAGCACCACGAATGGAACTGGAAGACATTATGTTAAGTGAAATAAGACAGGAACAGGAAGTTAAACACCACATGTTCTCATTCATATATGGAAGCTAAAAAAAAGTTGATCTCATAGAGGTAAAAAGTAGACCAGAGGATACTGGAGGCTGAGATGGGTAACAGTTGGGGGGAAAAAAGAGATTTGTTAAAGGGTATAAAATTAGAACTAGACAGGAAGAATATAATATGGTGTTCTATAGCACTGTAGGGTGACTATAGTTTATATTATAAGTTTCAAATAGTTAGAAGGAGGACATTGAATGTTCCCAACACAAAGAAATGATAAATGTTTGAGATCATGGATATGCTAATTACCCTGATGTGATTACTATACACTATATGTATCAAAACATCACTATGTACCTCCATAAAAATGTAGGATTGTTATGTGTCAATTTTTTTAAGTACATTAAATTAAATTTTTAAATGGGAGGGATATTAAACTAATAAATTAGAAAAATTACCAAAAAAAAAGAAAGTGCAAGACTCCATCTCAAAAATAAAATAAAATAAAATAAATGACTAAATAAATAAAAATAAAAATAAAAAAGAAAGATGGAAAATGAACTCAGAGGGAAGATTTGAGGTGCAAGGGGCAAGAATGATCAGAGGAATTGGTAAACATGTGGTTAAATCTAAATAAACATTGACTGCATACAATAATAACGACAACAGTAATAATTCACTTGGGGGTTAAGACCAAGTTTGACCTAAAATACAAACAACATGTAAATTAGGAGACACAGTGGCCAGAGTTTTAAAGTTCTTCTGTTGTTTAGGTAGAGGGTGGAGATATTGATTTTAGATTTTGTTAATACTGAATATTAAAATGTTAAGGGTTCGAGTTGGTTGCATCATAGCACTCAGCAAAGAATTATTATGAGTGGTCTTGAAATACATTTTGACCTTACATCCTTATTGAGATATCAACTAAAAATTGAAAGAATCACGATGAAAAATTTTTTAAATGTTAAGGGTAATCTCTAAATGAATGGAAACAAATTATATAACTTAAATATGGATATAAAAACTTTATCAATCCAAAAAAGGGCAGGAAAAGAGAAAAAACTAAGCAGAGAACTCAAGACAAGATAATAGTAATAAACTAAAAAAGTTAGTAATTACAATAAAAGTGAATATACCAAACTTACCATTCAAAAGACATATATTTTCAGTTTGGATTAAAAACAACGAAACCCAACTGTAAGTTGTTTATAAGAGACACAAAACAAAGATACAGAGGGAAGTTGAAAGTAAATGAATAGCTAAAAGTGAACTAGGTAAGTAGTCACCAGAAGTCACTGAATCTTGTACAACTATATTAATGTCAGATAAAATACGTTTTTAGGCAAAAAGGATTATCGGGAAGAGGTTTGGTCCTATGTAATGATAAAATGTGCAATTCATTGAGAAAACATAATTGCTTTAATATTGTATACCTCTAATAACACAGCCTCTAAATACCTAAAGGAAAATGAGGTCAAATTAAGATGAATTTTATAATGTCATCTCTGAGGGTGAAGAGAAAAAATGTGAAAGTGTTGTATAACTGAATAGAATATCTATTGTTTTATCTTCCCAGATGTCCTTCTTTTCTAATCACTTTTCCCAGCAATTTATATTAGAAATAAAGTGTGACTAATAAATGCTCTAAAATGTGGAACTGGCTAAGTGGAGGCTTGATCAAATGCAATGAGCATTCATCTCATATGGGGATAGGGAACTGATGGTCTGGTTCATGTAGTGGCAAAGAAGTTGATTAAATTATTAGCCATTGTCTCTTGGGACAATGCCAACTGCCCAGAGAGGCTGGAGCTTTAGGCAACTTGGCAACAAAATATCAGGAAATCAGAGTATGTTGAACTATTTAAAGTGTCTTCATGAAGGGATACCAGAGACAAGGTCCAGGATAAAGTGAGCACTTCCGAAGCAGAAAGAGAATAAGCAAGAAAATTATGTAGCTTTTAAAAGAAAGGGATGGATCTGTTGCCTATAGCCAAGAATCTAAAACAACCAAGGGCCAGATAATCATGTGCCTTGTGGGATGGCAGCTGCTGCAAGATACGCTTCCTCTGTTTCTAGAGCTGTCTAGACAACTGTGGAATCCTGGCAGTTGCAATGAAGACACTGGGGAGTAGTCCTAGGCATTAGGCCACCCCCCAAACCTTACCTCTCCTTTGGGATAGCGGTAGCGATATTTATCTTGGTCTCGCAGTGCAAATTCTTCAGGGTAATGTTCCTGGATTTCTTCATAGGTCATCTCCTCACAGACACCCTGAGAAAAAGTATTTGGGGGCAAAAGTATTCACAAGATGAAATTCCACAGAGTCTTTGCCATAATTCTTTGATGATTGTGGAACAGTAGCGCATGAGCACCTGGGTCTCTGTGAACACAGCTTTGGGTCTGTGCCTGTTATCTATAAGTGTGTCTGTGTGTGTGTGTGTCTGTGTGTGTGTGTTTGTGTGTGTGTATAAGGTGTGCGGCTGTGTGGATGTGACAGTGAGTGTATGTGGATAGATGTGTTCAGGCTGAGTGTATGATGTTTTTCTATGATTGTACAGATAGGTCTGCAGGTGTACATTATACATATAAGTATGTATTTTTATAAAAATATGGGCATAAGAATTTGTGGCTGTGTTTACAAGTCTGTGTGGAGCATGCTTATGTACTTGTGGTATGTTTAAGGACTTATGCCTCGTGTTTGTGTATTTGTCTCAGCATATGTTGTGTGCTTGCATGTGTGTTTGTGTGTGTGTGTGTGTGTGTGTGTACAGGGTGTCTAAGCATTGGAGAATGTGTCCATGTGGTCTTTCCATGCAGGTCTCAGTGTGTCTGTGGCATGTGTGTCTGTTAATGTATATGTCCCTCATTATGTCTCTGGTGTATATGTGAGAGTTATCTGTGTGCCTGTGTCTGAAGACCTCTACTTTGGGAACTCTGGCAGATAAACAGGCATCCACAGACATCTCAGACAAGAAAAATTAATAAATTCCTAATGGTTTCAGAGTGGATTTGGGGGAGATACACTCTCCTCACTCAAAAAAGGAATTGAGTCATCAGAAAATGAGTTCCTAAGGTGCTTATGAGAGATTCCAAGTCTACTGAGAAACTCCCAGAGGTGAGGTGACTACTGCTGGTGGTGGAAAGTTATGTTGGGTTTCTAAGGTTTCCTTTTGGGTACGTGGATTCCAATTAAATCTCCCTGTAGGGGGCCAGCGGCCTCTGGTTGTTGTCTACTGGGCCCATCTACCATGCCCCCATCAGGGGTGAGGAAGTGAACCCCTACCCCAACCCACAAACATCTCTGCAGTGTGAAACTTCTCCAACCCACACTGCCCATGGAAGAAAGTGCACCCTACTGGGTACATGAGGTCCTTCCAGATTGGCTTCAACTTTCTATTCTGAGGAGTACTAGGAGCCTGTTGCCTATAGAAATGGTCATTGACTCATTATTGAGTCAAATTGCTTAACCTCTCCAAATTTTACTTTCCTTGTCTGCAAAATGTGGAGAATTAGAACTACTTCATAGAAGTGTTTTGAATACTGGAAAAATGTAAATAAAATATATTAGCATAGAATATGCAAGGGACATTTTAAAGACTCAATCATTAGAATCAAGTATTAATATTTTATTAATCATGGAAAATAAACCAGAAACTTAAATTCTTGCTTTATCATCATCCTAAATTCTTGCTTCTTCCTCACTCACCCCTCATAGCCAATTTCTGAGATTCCACCTCCTAAATCTCTCTCAAATCGATTCCTTTTTTCTTCCCTCTCCATTTGTACTACTACAACCTTAGCATTTCAACACATCCAATCAACCTCTTTGTTTATGAAGTTCCCTATCCCTGTCTCTCTGCCTGGAATGTCATTCTTGATCCTTTCTATTTGGTTCACTGTTACTCAAACCTGAGGCTTCAGCTAGGTATCACTTCTTCCAGGTAGATCTTGGCTGAGTTAGGTGTCCTGCCCCAATTTCTATGTACCCATAGTCTTGCCTATCAGAGCCTGTATCACACATGCTGTTCTCTATTTCTCTGTTTATCCCTCTGTCTACCCTATTTAGCCTGAAAATTCAGTGAAGACAGGAATGAATTAGATCAATTTCCACCTCCAGCATCACTCCAAAACCTGAAATAAGGAGGGATTCAATAAATGTTTACACCACATGTGGACCAGAAATAAGAAGCCACCAAACTTATGATGAAGAAATTTCATATTTGCTTGCATATATTTTATAGTAAATGTATGTGGTATACAGAACAATGCTGTATAGCCCTTTTCTAGCTATGTGTATTTCTGTACCTCTATATTTATATACACATATGTATGAATGTACACACACATACGTGTCTGTTTCTATAGAGGCATATCTAGCAGGCAAGTAAGTAAGTTAACCTACCCACACGCAAGTTATTTACACAAGTGGTGAAGCTTTTATGTTGATGCCTAACAATCATAACCTGTGCGCTGCTGCCCAGTGCCATTGTACCTACAGTGCAGGTGAACAATGGAGAGGAAACAGCTCCTTTCTCAAAGAGCTCATGGAAGAATCTGACCCTGAAGAGAGATTGCTATACCACCAGGGTTGGGTCCTTCATGTCTCCCTCTTCCTCATCCCTTACAGCCAGTGCACCATCAAGCCCTGCTGATTCCACCTTAAATATTTTTTTTGAGACAGGGCCTTGCTTGTCACTCAGGCTGGAGTGCAGTGGCATGATCACAGCTCACTGCAGCCTCAACCTCCCAGGCTCAAACAATCTTCCTATCTCAGCCGCCTGAGTAGCTGAGGTCACAGGCATGCACCACTACACCCAGCCAATTTTCAAATTGTTTGTAGAGATGGGGTTTTACTATGTTGCTCAGGCTGGTCTCCAACTCCAGGGCTCAAGTGATCCTCCCACCTAGGCCTCCCAAAGTGCTGGGATTACAGGCATGAGCCACTGCACCTGACCTGATTCCACCTTTGAAACATTCCCAAAGTCCTTCACTTCATCTCCAATGCCACTACTCTGGTCCAACATGCCCCCACCTCTTACCAGACTAATGCAATCAACTTCTTACTGGTCTACATGTTCATTCTGGCCTTCTTCCCACCAAGTTTCCACACATGCCCAGAGTGGGCTTTCTTTAAAAATGTGCATCACAGTCAGACTACTCCTACTTGATGTGGACCCCATCAATGGCATCTCATTGTTGTTAGGGCAGCATTTGAATCCCTCAACATGAACTATAAAGCCTGGTGGCCTGGCTTCCTTTCAAGCCTCATCTCCCTTTTCTCCAGATCTCACTATTGCTGTCCCAGCCTCTGTGCTATTCTTTCCTTCAGTTCCCTGAACTTGCCATGCTCTCTTCTTATCTCTGGGTCTTCACATGAGCTATTTTCTGTCTCTGAATTAAATTTATTTCCCCACTCCCCAGACCATTTCGCCTCCTTCTTATGTCACCTCTAGCTTCCTCCAAGAAGCTTTCCTTGTAAATCTCCCACCACCAAGTTGAGTCAGGAGCACCCTCACCCTCTGATCCTCCATAATCCCTTCTACTTCTCCTCTCATAGCCCTTTGTCACACTGAGATGTAATGTCCTACTTACTGTCTGTCTTTAGGATGAGGGCAGAGACTTTGTCTATTCTGGCCTTCACTGGATCCCCAAGATATAGAATAAGGTCTGGCACATGGCTAGTTGTCAAAAAAGTTTGTTGAATTAATTAGGCTCCCCACAGGGGCTGGAGCAGAGGCAACCCAGGGGATAATCCCAGACTCAAGTCACCCCCTCCACACAGGAGATTCACCCCATGCATCTCACCGCATCAATCTCATTCAGGGCCTTCCACTGCTCATAGGGGACACCCAGGGCCTCAGCTGTCTGGATGGTCCTCTTCATGTGACTGGTCCACACCTTCAGGGAGCTGATGCCCTGGGACTGAATGAAGTTGGCCAGGGCATAGGCATACTAGTGCGTGGGGATGCAGAGGAGGAGAGAAGGGCAAAAGGAGAGGTGAGAGAGAGCAGGGTGGCCATAAGAACAAGCTCAGATCTGCCACAAATTAAGTGGTGATGAACAAGCAGAGCAAAGAGTTTAAATGTTCCAAATTTATAAAAAGTCATACTCTTTCCCATGTGATGGTAGGCCAAAGGAATAGAAAAGAGCATGAGTGAGTGAGAGAGAGAGAGAGAGAGAGTGCGTGTGTGCGCGCACGCTCATTGATGATTGCTCACCAAAGCCCCTACTTGGTTATTCATTCATTCAAACAGGCCCACCTCTAATATTTGTGGAGCCTGGGACAAGAGTACCAATGGAGACACTCCATGCACAGTCTATCTCTCCATTTCTGGCTCTATCCTGCACTTCTATGTGCCTTTAGTATATGCTTGTGGATAACCAAGTCACATGACTGAGTTCTGTCCACATTTCCACCTCCACTGATCCCCATGCTCCACAAACAGCAACCCCTTGGTCGTGTTATATGGCCTGACCTCATGTGGACAGACTCTGGGATAGGCCCATGTAGGCACTGAAAGCAGACTCTAGACAACAAGGGCAAAGAATTCTAGGGTTGGGGGTACCAGAGTATGGACTGGAAGTAGGGGTTGTGGCATTTGGGAGACTTTACTTTTTGACACTGTGAACACTTATCGCTTAAGCAGGGTTCCTGGCACCCAGGTTCTAGGGACATTCACACATGTATTGAGTGTTCATGGCCCTGTGCTGGGTGCTGGGGTGTTCTTGTTCTCAAGACATGGCCAGTCCAGTGAGGGAAACACTGGCAGCACCGAGGGGAACCATAAAGGGCTGTGGGAGCCCAGAGGAGCTAGTGATTTCCTCCTCTGTGGATAGGTGTGTTGTTAACCACTGATGGCATGTGTTAGGAACATCTGCACAGGTGCATAGGTCCAGGCACACATTTTTATATGCAGATATAGGTGTTTCATACATACATTTCATTATGGAAATGAGTCAGGAGTCAGTATGCTCCGGTGGAAGGAGCCCTTGACAGGGAGGTAGGAGCCATAGGTTAAACTCCCTCAGCACCCTTACATGGTCCCTTGTGCCGTCAGACACATCCCTGCCCCTCCCTGGCCTCATATCCAAAGAGCACTGGCTCACCTGGCCTGCTGTCTGGGGGCCGCACTTCAGATAGTGGATGGGGAGTACCCCGACCACAGCCTGGTACACAGTGGGTGCTGCACAAGTGAGAGCTATCTCGACAGGGAGGTGCTTTGTAAACTGGGCCTGGTGCTCTGTGAGAAGCGTGAAGGTGGCATCAGCTGTGTGCATGCACACACACACAGGTTTGTGTGCAGGGAGGCATGCCCTGTGGAGACAGCCACGTGTCCAACTGGGCTCCGAGCTGTGTGGGCAGGGCCAGGCTGGCTCCACCCAAGATGGCCCTGGCTGCAGGGGCTGCCATGGGCCGGGGTCACACCTCCAGCAGCCTCTGACTCTGCTCTGAGGAGTGGGACATGAGGGAGTCACAGGTTAGAGTCTACCTTGAGGGGAGGCTGTCAGTCTGGAGGTAACAGAAAGGGAGACACCAGGGCGTGGCCATCCAGGGTAGTGCCTTGCCTGGGGCACCCCCCCATCTCCAGTGGGGGAGCTGAGGGCAGGTCAGTAGGCCCCGCTTTCAGCCCTGGCTCTGTCTCATCCTGGCCACCTGCCCTGGGGCTGCTCTCTGCTTCCTCATCCATAAACTGCTGGTAGGAATGCCCACCCCACAGACCTGTGGTGAAGATGAAATGAGCCACACATGCAGAAGCAGATGGCACCGTGACTGCATAGGTGTCCAATAAATGACAATCACGACAACAATTGTCCATCCTGCACTTCATTTCCCACCTGTTCCATCCCCAAGTGGTCCTTCCAGCAGGAACAATACCTGTGCTAACAAGCCCAGGTGCAGGACCAAATGCTGTGGAAATGGATCCCTGTGTTTAGCCAGCAACCAGAACATGCAGGTCACTGTGCTGGGCTGGGGAGAAGACACTCAGGCCAGGAGAGCCACACATGGGCCAGAACTGGGAGAGCTGGAGCCCAGGGCATGGCAACCTGCCTGGGAGGGAGGAGAGGATGAGGATGGGGAGGGCTTTCTGGAGCAGGTGCTGGGCCTTGGAAGGGAGTGGGGAGGGCAGGAAGGACACTGTCATGGGTGGGGACAGGGGCTGCCAGTGTGACACCTGTGTTGGGGTGAGGTGGGGAGGGCAGAATTGGGGAGAAGAGTGGTTCAAGGATGGGTCTCTCAGGGCAGCTGTCTGTGCCACTGATGGTCACCCACTGACAGAGGAGACAGAAGAGGGTAGACTAGGTGGGGGAGCTGCACCAGCAAAGGCACAACGTTGTGAGAAAGATGATGGAACCAGTCAGGAAGGGCAAAGGGAGTCACTGTCATGGAGCAGCTGGCTTTGGGCAGGCCTTGGGTGCCAAGGCCAAGCTCTTAGACCTGCAGAACAGGTGGCATAGGGAACCATTCGGCGGCTGGGAAGAGACTGAGTGGCTGATGGATGGAAGAGTAGGAGTGATGGAATCTGCTTCTACCCCATCCCTGGGTCATCCCACCTCAGGACCCAGAATGTGGCCACCACTACACCTCCAGCCCACCTAGGACAGCCCAGCCAACCCATCTGGGTGTATGTGGTCCACCCTACCTGCTTGCCACGAACTGAGAGGCCAGAGTCACCTCCGATGCGGCCTCTGAGGTTGAGATCACTCTCACCATGACGGCATAGGTAGATGGAGCGAGGTGTGACGTGGATATTCATGAGGTAGTAGACTGTGCGGCTCTGGATGTGACCCTGCACTCGGTTCACCATGTAGCGTGTGCCCACGTCGAAGATCTTGATGTAGGACAGGTGGCTGGGCCAGATCCAAGCAGGAGCAAGGGCAGCTCAGGGGCTAATGGTGGTAGGGTTGACCCCGAAAGAAACCCCGAACCACACACCCTTTCAAACCTCTTCCACAACCCAGCTGTCACCTAATGTGATGCCATGCCTTGCCCTGTACCGAGTACCTGTCCTAGAGACTTGGTTATTGGCCACCCAAAGGAGCTCATTATATGCTATTTCCCCCTGTCTCCTTCCTTCAGCCTCAGCTTGAGCGAAACTGCCTTTTCACTCATCCTCTTACAAGCAGCTGGGTTCTCTCTTCTGGGGTTCACATCCCTAACGTAGTCAGAGAGAAGCAGTAATCCTTTGTATCCCTGGCTAACTCTAATGTCTTACTGGCAGCTCCTGACTTGTTCACTCCCCTACCCTTTCTGATCCTGAGTTGAGCTCTTCACTTCTCTCTCTCTCTCTTTTTTTTTTTTTTAGCCTTTGCTACATATTGTCCTTTATATTCAACACACAACTACCAGATTGCGTCTGTGTGCATATGTGTGTCTGTGCATGTGTGTGTCTCTCTCCTCACTCAGAACGGGGGGTTGGCCTGGGTTATTTTCCTATTTGCTATGCAGTCAACAAACATACTCCAAACATACTCCTGTGTTCTAGGCATTGTGCTTGGCATGGAGACCCAGTGTCTGTGCTTTGGGAGCTCTCTGGCCAGTCAGGAACAAATACTTGGAAACACATGATCAGTGCTCAACATTCATTCCATAAACAGTCATTCCCTCTAAGGTGTGCCAAGTAGTGTGGCATGGGGTTACAGAGGTGGTCCACAACATCATTGGGGAACTTGTGGTCCTTGTCCCAAGTTCCTTACCGTAGCCTCAATTCTGTGCTCTGTCATGAACTAATACCTATACACTGAATGATATTCAAACTGTTCAACCACCTGTTTGTGTAGAAGCTGGAGGGTGGAGTGTAGGCACTGACTAATCAGAAGACTAGAAACATGGAGCAAGACTTCTGAGGCCTACACTGTACCAGGCATTAACTCGTTTAGTTGTTGGCCTGTACAGAGTTCGGAGAAATCCGTAGGAAGAGGAGTGGAAGGCTGGGGCAATGGGGTGACACCAGCAGTCCTGGTTGCATGGTAACAAAACCAAGTGAATAGAAAGAGCTGCACTGCACTAACCCGAGGCAGGTAAGGTTGCCGACAGGTTTGGTTTCAGAAAGCCTCTCCCTAGATTTTCCTAGAGAAGTCCTTTATGCTGCACCACACTCATCATGCCCACCTGTGCCCAATGGCTTCCACAGGGCACTTGTATTTGTTGAATATTTTCTGTGCATCTGGCAGGGAGTGGGAACTTTTAAGCACATGAATCCTCATAATATTACTACAGAGCAGAGATTATCACCTCTGTTTTAAAGGTGAAGAAACCGAGGCATAGAGAAAGTGATTTTCCCAAGGCCACCTTCTCGGGAAGAACCCCAGAATACTTCCCCCTCCAGTAATTTCTTCTAGAACCCTCAGAGCCTAGGGGTAGAAAATATCTGATGCAAACTTGTGGCCTGGCTACTGTCTGTTCCTAACACTAGGTCCATTGAGGCTCTAGGAGCTTCCAAATTCCTCAGCTTAGTCTGATTTTCTGGTTTTGCCTTCTCACACTGGGCCCGGTTGGCCTCACTTTATGGTCCCATGCCCATACCCATATCTTCTCTGTTTCATTCTTGTCTTCACACCTTTGCTATTACACTTGGAATATTTTCTGTATTTCTCTACTCTTGTTCAGATTTAACTAGGCACTTACAAAGTGCTATTCTCTTTGCCTGATTTCCAAAGTTGAGCTGCTATGCATTCATACCTCAAGAACCAGCATATTCACTCTTTAGGAAGCCTTTTTTAAGACCAGGATCACGTGAAGTCATTTAGAGGTGTTCCACACCAAAAATAGTAGAGTAGTTAATGCCTACCTCCATCCAAATTTTTAATTTTATTTTAAAAATTAAAAAAAAGTTTTAAATTTTTATTTAAAATAAAAATTATAAACTATAGAATATGGGGAGATTCTCCCAAGTTCTGGTTTTATATTTTTCCACTTTGACTACCTTGATGCTGTTTTTGAAATATCCAATATTATAAAAGCCTTTAAGCCAGCTGGGTGCAGTGGCTTATGCCTGTAATCCCAGCACTTTGGGAGGCCAAGGCAGGCAGATCATTTGAGGTCAGGAGTTAGTGACCAGCTTGGCCAACATGGTGAAACCCTGTCTCTAATAAAAATATAAAAATTAGCTGGGTGCAGTGGCGGGCACCTGTAATCCCAGCTACTCAGGAGGCTGAGACAGGAGAATTGCTTGAACCCAGGAGGCAGAGGTTGCAGTGAGCCAAGATCATGTAACTGCACCCCAGCCTGGGTGACAGAATGGGACTCTGTCTCAAAAATAAAATAAAATAAAATAAAATAAAATAATAAATAAATAAATAAATAAATAAATAAATAAATAAATAAATAAAGTTTTTAAGATAGTTCTTTTTCTCAGTTTGGTAGCCCCTATCTTGCTGGTACCCTATGTGTAGTCTGCTTATTGGGTAATCAAGCTCTTTCAGACCTTCTTCCTCCAAGTTGGACGGGGTCCCATGTTTCTACAGCCCACTTGGTTTACTGTCACCAGAGTTGTGACCAACTGTGTACTCATTGTCTTCTCCAACTAACTGGACATTCTGTCAAATCAGGGACAGCCCTTTCCTCTTTTGATTCCATGTTCAGGGCTGGGACCTGATGCATAGACTATAAATGTCTGTTGATAGAAAAATGATGACATAAAGCTGACCTTCTAGATTTGTCTTCTTCTGGCCCAAACTAATTCATCAAACAGCAACCTAGCAACCGCAGGGTCTGGGCCCAGGGCTGGGGTTTTGTCAATGCTGTTATTTCACTTACACCCTCCACTCCAGCCTTCAGGCTCCTTTCACCATATGCTGTTAGCCCATGTCATTCCTTTGTGATAATTTTCAAAAGCCGTACTTTCCTCAGGGTCACACAGCCCTACTTCAGCACACATCTTGGTGAGAGAAGCGAGTGTACCCTTGACCAGGGTGCCTGTGCAATGAACAATCTGCACAACTGGGATATGGGTTCGAACAGATATTGTGCTACTGATTCGTTCATTGTGTAGCCCAAAGTAAGCCTTTGATTTGATCTGGGTCTCAGTTTCTCCATCTAAAGAGTGGGGCAATAACAGTGCTGATCTCTCGGTACTTCAATTGGGTAAGGCCACTCTTTAGATTTCTTAGAGTGGTGATGACCATTTGAAGCCTCTTTATACTTCTCACTTGGGGTCTCTTCTCATCACAACACATTTTCAAAGAGAGTAGGGTTCTGGGAACATTCTACATCTAAAACTCACATCTGCTCTCTCCTATCTTTAGTTGGTATTATGACAGAGCATTTCTTGTTTTTTTTTTTTTTTTTTTTTTTTAATGGGTGTTCTCATATGTCAAAGCACTATAGAAGCTACCCGAGGATAGAACCCACCTCTTTTGCCCCTATTTATACCCCCTACATATACCACAGCCCAAAGGGTCCAAATACTTGTTGATTGATGAGACATGGGAATGTTGTGAAAAGAGACATGACTAGGAGACAGAACATGTAATTAGAATCCTAGCTCTACCCCTTGTGATGGGAACTTGGGAAAGTAATTTCAGTTCTCTAAGACTCAATTTCTTTTTCTTGAAATTTTATGATCATAAGACTTATCTCAGCCTCCTTTACAGGAGTCCTAAGGGATTAAATGTAAGAAAGAAGGTAAACATGTTTGGAAACTGAAGTGCCATTCATGTGTGAAGAACACTTTTGTAATAATAATCGCAACACCCACAGGATGGGGGCATTTGTTCTGTTCAGGAGGGGGTCCTGAACTGTTCATATTGCTCAGGAAAACACTATTTTAATCATCTTAGGAACACCTTACACATCAAGGAATCAGAGCTGAAAGGATCCTTGAAGAAAGATAATCAAGTTCAGTTTCCTGATGTTACAGATAGAGAAGCTGAGGCTCAGAAAGGGAGGATATTCCCTCCAGGTTCTACAGGATATCAAAACTGGGCAAAAGATCTAGACCTTGACTTTGGGGTGCTGGCTCTTACCTGTCCAGTTCCTCATCCAAGGGTTGGTAGTTGACCTCATAGCACTCAATTCTCTTTAGAAAGTCTTCCAGAACCTTTTCACGGTCACAGTCTACATAATCGGGGCTGCCAAGTTTCACTTGCTGGGATCAGGGAGAACAGAGGTATCAAGGGAGACATTGTAAGACAGAGTCTCTGATGGTTTTCTTTGGAAGGTTCTTAGAGACCACTGAGTACAAGATGCCTCATTATAAAGATGAGGAAATTGAGACCTGGAGAACACATCTTGCCTAAGTTTACAAAAATCAGGCAATTGAAAAGAAGCTGGTTGTGTGACTCCTCATTCCTAATCTCAAAGAAAGCCTGTTACATTATACTCAGTCGCAGAGCATACACTGTTTATAAAAGAAGAACATTTATAAGAGGACCAGAAATTGTGATGTGAGAAATGGCTGAAGAAGTGGAACCAGAGATCTTGTCCAGGGGTCATTACGGCTTACATGTATCAAGTGTTTACCGGGAGATTATGACATGCTGTCTTTGGATTTCTGAAGACTGGCCTCTCCTAATTCACCAATACCCACTGTCTCCTCCCACAGTCCTCATCTCAGGTACTGGCACTATCACCTACCCCATCATCTGCTCCTAAATGGAACCTGGGAATCATCCTAGATGTCTGTCTTTCTATCATCCCTCACCTCTTAGCAGGTACCAAATCCTCTCCACTCTATCATCTCCTCTAAATATCCATTCATTCTTGCTTGTGCTCACTATAGCTGTGTGCCCAATTACTTTGTCTATATATTTTTTACTTCTAATGTATTCACCATACTGGCAGCCAGAAGGGTATTTCTAATATGAATATCTGGCCAAAGTATTCTCCTGCTTAAAGCCCTTATACATTTTGTCATAACTTTTAGAAAAAAAGTGTGAATTATTTTAGCAGGCAGCTCATGGCTTGTCATGATTGGGCCCCAAATTATTTCTTCAACCTTATCTCCCATGGCTCCCCTATTCCTCCACACATTTGACTTTAACCAATTTAAGCTACTTATAGTTCTCTGGAGATGCCATACTTAGTATATGCTTATATCCTTATTTTCCATTCTTCACGCACCAAATTCCTATGTGTTCTTCAAGGTCATTGGAAACTGAAGTGTCATTCATGTGTGAAGAACACTTTTGTAATAACAATCGCATATATCCTTATTCGTTTTAATTTTACCTCCATTAGGAAGGCTTCCCTGATTTCTGCCCCCATGCAAAGTTAGGCCCTCAGCACTGTCTTCCCAAAGCTTCCTCTGTTCCCTCATATCACCTCAGTTCTCAGAGTTCTGTACATATACTTGCCAGTCTTCCTCACTAGAATATATGCTCAAGGGAAGGACTCTCCACTATCCATATGTATGTCTCTAATGCCCAGAATGGCCAAGTCCAGGTATATAGTCAATTTCTGTTGAATTGATAGATAGATAGATGGGAGGATGAAGAGGGAAGGGAGGAAATGAACATGCTGTATGCCCCAAAAGGTTAAAAAAAATACCAATTAATAAAAATTACAAGGAGGCAGATTCCAGCTTGACTGGACCGCATTCGTTGAAAGCAATGGGCCCCTTATCATTGCAGGTATAAAAAGAAAATCTAGATATACATTTATGTAAGACTTCAAGTATCTGATGGAGGGTAGAAGAAAATTGCCCTTACGGTCTCTTCTGTTCTTGAGCTCCAGTAATTTGATGAAGTGGGGAACAACAAAACGTGGTAAATGACCTAGTTCTAGACCACATGCCTAGAATCTAAGAGCAGTGGTAGTTCTGGTATGAATTTTGGGGTAGAATAAAAAATGTAGGCTTTTGAGGCAGACAGCCAAGCCTGAGGTCCAGTCCCACTTCTATCCCTTTCTGTCTGTATGAATCTTTGACAATTCATTTATCCTTTTGGAACCTCAGTTTCCTCTCTCTAACATGGAAATAATCTGTAATATGCAGTTTTGTTGTGAAAATTAATGACAGTCAAGTCTGGTATCTGGAGCATAGGAAGGGCACTATGTATGTTGGCTTCGTTAAAATTAATAGAGTCATTGTAGGCCAGGATGGTTAGGGAATGCTTCCTATAAAAACGAGGAGGAGAAGATCAGGGAGGAATACTTTCTTTAATCTCATGGAGTTGCCTTAAGCATAATCTCACCTCTGCCTTAGGCATGATCTAAGCCTAAGGCAGAGCAAAGTGGAAAAGTAACTGGTGGTCCTTACCCTGATGTTTTCTGCAATTACGCCAGGGTCATTACAAATGGACTCAATGAAAAACACCTATAAAAGAAACAGAAAAGAGACTTCCAGCAGGAAATTATGTTTGATAGGAGCTGAACATAGCTTTACTCCTTTTCAATGGTTCTAAATCATCTCCAGGGGCATCTCTGACAACATAATGCTCTCATACAGTGGTACTTTCAGGCTTCTGAGTTTCATGAGGCAGATTGGCTCTAAACTGAATGACCCCAGATTGTTGTTTTATATCTTTACTGGGTTTAGGTCTTATATAAGCTTTTTGTAGTGACTCTCTCCACTCTTTCCCCATAGCCAGCCTGTCTGCAGTCATCTTCCATTGCCTAATGTGGCACCCCTCCTTTCTTGTTCTGCTTTGCTGCTTCTGACTATATCCTGGAAAGCTAGAGAACCAAATTAAAATGTTGAGCTTATGGTTGTGGATTTGGCTGCTCTGAATCCCCTGGTTTGCCTTTCTTTGGGGTTTGTGCTGGAGAAACAGGCTCTAAATAAGAGTTGGAGTGTTACCATACCTTGTAACCATGTTCTTTTGCAAACTGCAGGATCAGTGACCGCCGTTCTCTGGTAGTGTTGGTGGCATCAAAAACCTAGAGGCAGGTAATGAGATTGGATTACTCTGAATCTGGTGCTAACAGAACACCTACTCTTTGCCCATCCCTGTGCTAAGTGGAGGGCTTCCATATAGAGGTAAAACTTGAACAAGGTCTTGAAGGATAGGAAGGATTCATGATTGGCTTATGACAATTTCACAAGCACATATTGGGCCCTTGTGGTCTGTCCAGAAATGTATGCTACCCTGTGAGTGTAATAAGGCAAGAGGAAATTGTGGGTGTTTATTAGGGTCATTTTATAGGTGAGGTAACTGAGGCCTAGAAGAACTTGCCTTGACCAAAGTCACTGAGAGTTGCTGACAGAGCAGAGCTAGAACTGGTTCTCTCAATTCCTAGCTGAAGCTTCTTCCTTCCTTATCACTTTAGAAGTCCTCAAGAACAAGAAACAATTCCCTAGCCTCAGTACCTGAGATTGGACCATTTGCATATTTGAGAATCTCCTCCCCTTTCAGAATTTGCAAATCCTAGCTAAACTATTGACTAGATATTTAGGTAAGTCTCTAGAACTCAAAACTGTTTGTACTGCAGTTTTAAATTCTAATATAATCCTGCTGAATTATTGGGGGTGGACTGGTAGTGCACAGTGGTTAAGAGTGGGGATTCTGAAGCTATACAACTTGGATTCCATTTCTGGCCCTGCCAGGTATATGCTGTACTACCTTGGGAAATTATTTAATGTGTCTGTGAACCATTCTTCTGGGCTCTGAAATGGGGCATAATAACAATACCTACCTCAAGGGGGGAGCATAAAATGAAATTATTAATATATGCAAATACTCAGAACAACAGTAAATGTTCAGTACATATTAGCTAATTCCCTTCCCAGTAGATACCCAAGGAAAAAATAACAAATTTCTTTACCGCGACATGACCTTCTTCACGGCTGAGATAGTTGTGAACATCCTTCAGGGCTGCTAGGGCGCACTGCCTGAAATAGACCAGGAAAGAAAAAGAGACAACCCTTATCACCCAGGATGGATTCCTCTCTCATTGTCTGCAGTATCTTCTGTATCATCTCTCATGTCTTAGACTAACTTATGTGCCCTGTGCTTTAGGCACCGTGCTAAGCACAGAGGGGTCAAACAGTTGAAAGTGGCTGTATGTGCACAGCTTACACAGCTTAGGGGCAGGTATAAAGTGACACAATCAGGAAAAGCTGAGCAATGACAGAAGCCATAATATTAAGGCTTCCAACCCTTGAGCTAATGGAACTCAAGCTGAACTGTTTTATGAACCCAGGTAGAGCATGTGGTCTGTGAAATAAAAGGCATTCCTGGCATGGGTAACACACAGGCGTGACAGTGGCAATGTATTTATGCTTTCAGCAAAAATCTCTTTAGTGATTACTCACTGCTGGGTTCTATATTGAGGGCATAAGGCCCAGGCTCTAGTCTGCCTTTACTCAGCGTCTTGCAGTGTAGACAGACCTTGAGGTTGAACTGATGAGACTACAGAAACTAGAGTAGGCCAAGCTATTGAGATTCTTGCCTCAAATGCTAAGCTGAGAAGTTTCTACTCTCTCCTGTCAGAAGTAGAAGACCATTAAAGGTTTTTGATAAGTGGATGGTTATGACCAGAAACAGGCTTTGGGCAGGATAATGGAAGGGCTGTTCCAACTACTGTTTGAGAGTCTAGAGGGCCACCTTTCTGGTCCAGATTATTCTGCCCTACTCCCCGAGTATCTGAACAAGGGCCTTTCAGCCACGGGACAGCACAGATTCCTAAAATATTGGGTACTTACTTCCTGATTTGCAGAGCCTCCATGTTGTCTGGAAGAAAGAATTCATAGTTCTTGTAGCTCACTGCCTCTCGTCGATACTGGCCTAAATTAAATACTGAAAGCAGGGAGCGCCAGTGAAGAGATTGGGAAGATCCCAGTGGCCAAAAAATGTCCTTGCTGGGAGGGACCTCAGAGGTGGAAGAAGGTATAATTTGTAGCTATAAAATTGCTTTTAAAACTTCAAATTATGGCTACCAGTTTATTTATTCCTCACAACAGCCCTGCAAAGTAGAGATCACTATTACCATTTTATAAATGAGGAAACTGAAAGTTCAGAGATAGGAAAAACTTGCACAATTATTTCCTATCTGTGGATATCTGAGATTCAAACCCAGGTCTATTTGGCAACATAGCTGATGGTCTTTCCATTATTCTACTTTATCATAAACACCAATCCTTAAAATGCCCTACTCTGGTGGAAAGATGAAGAAATGGAGATCTAGGGAGTAAAATTAATCACCAAGGGTCAAACAGTGAGTGAGCTGGTGACAGATATAGACTGGACCTCCTGACTTCTAGTCCAAAGTTGTTTTATTTTTCTATACTATGATGAAGATTCTAAATCTAAATCTCTAGGCCATACTTTCCCACTTACAATGATGAAAAACTACAGAGGAGGGAAGGAAAGGAGGAGAAAGAAGATAAGCAGCCAAAGAGTTAATATTTCATTCATTCATGTAACAAATACTTTTTGATTCCTACTCTGTGAAGCAGGATATGAGCTCTGGGTCTCAGGGATTAGCCCGATCTTCATGATGGGGCCCTAAAGGCACTCACGGTCCAACAGGTAAGACAGTGAGTAAACCAGTAAATGGAGAGCTCCCACAGAGTTTGTTAAATGCTCTGACAAAGACAATATGAAGCCATGGAAGAGAGTGAGAGGGAAGGAAAGACTAATTGTACTTGGAATGATCTGAGAAGGTTTCACCATTTGAACAAGGCTTTTTAGGGTAGGCGCCTTTTACAGGCAGATATGGGCAGTGGGAGTCAGGAACAAAGGCATCCAGGTAGAGGAACAGTTTGAGCAAGAGTATGGCATTGGCAGAAGGAAGAGCACGTTTGGAGGATGGTGAGTCATCCACTATGGATTTAAACCTGCAGGCCAAGGGGACCTTTGGAGGTCACAGGCATGTTCAGCTTTGTGCTTTGAAATATAACTCTGGAGGCCTTTGAGAGAATTGAGTGGAGTGAAGAAGATAGAAAGCAGGGGAATCAGAAACCCTGAACCCATTATGGGGCCCTTAAGGCAGAAACCAATCTGCCAGTGTCCCATGTACCTCTACACTCAGCAGATTTTCCTGAGAGCTTGCAGTCCTCCATGAGAGCTGTTCCTTCTCTCCTTCCCTTCTGCCAATGTCTTATTCCTCCCACAAGACTCAGCTCAAACATATCCTATGTAGGAAGCTTTCCTTGCCTTCCAGTTGTCAAATCCCTTTGTGATTTCATGCAGCACCCTGCTCCTGTTCTAGAATTCCTAGATGATATGAGGTATTCTTATACATCCCAGCTAGACTTAGAACTCCTCAAGGACAGGGTGAGTCTCATCCAGTTTTGTATCCTCATTGCCTAGCAGGAGTTTGGGCACATGGAAAACTATTGGGAAACTCTTCACCAGTGAATTAGATAAAGAGAACATAGATGAATGGAAATAAGAAATGGGAAAAAGAAACAAATTGGGGAGAGGAAGGAAGAGGGGGAGAGATAGAAGGAAGCAGGGCAGAGAGACAGGATGTTGAGATTAACAAGAGAAAGAAGGAGACAAAAAGAATGGAGAAAAGGAGACTATAGGGCTAATGTGGGATTCTTTTCTCTTCCAATCAGTAGAACCATGCACTAGACTTGGCACAGTATCAGGCTTAGAATCAAATAGACCTGGGTTCATATCCTGGTTCTGTCACTTACTGGCCATATGCCTTTAGACAAGGCACTTCACCCCTTGGGCCTCAATTTCCTCAACTATGAAATGTTGAAGAAGTGGTAATGCTAATAAAAGTAGTAATATTGGTATGGCAATAATAGTAATGGCAATAAAAATAGAATGTTACTCACAGGGTTGTTTCGAGGTCATGGAACTTCTTGAGAGAAGACATTTAATCTTAACACTAGTTTTCCTATGCTTAGCACCTAGAGTGGTGTTGGGTACAAAGTATGTGCTCAAGAAGTTATAAACTGTATAAGAATGTAGTAATAGTGATAGCAGTAGTCCTACTGCTGATAATAATAATGATGAGGCATTTCTGGTATTGAGGACTTTGGCCTTCTACTTAAGTAAGGTTTTCAGCCAGTGGCTTTTATGGGGTTGTTGAACAAAGACTTTCAGAGGCATACCTTTAGTTGGTGTTCCTATCCAGTTGAGATATCGTGTGAGCTTCGTGGAGATATAAGTCTTGCCTCGAGCTGGTAAACCCACCATGATCACCATCGTGGGGGAATTGGTAAACTGGGGTATGGATGCTGAAAGACAAACAGACCCTCAAAAGCTTATCCTCAGATTCATATGCTCTTCTGGTATTAGGTCAGAAATGTAGAGTTGTAAAAAACACATCTCCCACCATTACAATAAGAACAAAAGCTGGGAAAGTGAAAATTAAGAACTTCTCTGAGACTCATCAGAAAACTGAGGTTGCAGTACCACAAACCTGTAGAAACAACCATCTTCAAGGGAGCCACAGGACCAGGCATTTGCTTACCTGGTGCAGATACCAGTGAACAACATACAAACTCATAAGAAGATTCAGCTAAAAATTATGATGAATTGCTAGAGGCTGGTTATGGGCTAGTGTGAGAATGTGAAGCCTGTAGGGGCTGCAGACATAGGCAGTTTTGCACCCCTTTGCAGAGTTTTCCTCCAGGAACTCCCCCAGAAGCTGACAAGAAAGACTGAGAAGAATCCTGAGAAAGATATCCTGTAGTTCTGGTTTGGGGAGAACAGTACAATAGCCATTGCTGAAATTCTGCACAGACTATTTTCCCTATATTCTCTATGGAGCAAAAGCCTTACTATTCAGGGAAAAGGCAACAAAAACTAGCTTGAAAGTACTGGGAGAAACTCACTGCAGCTAGCAGAGCAGACTGACCAACATCACTGAAACTCTGCCCATACCAATCTACCTTATCTTCCCAAAGGGAAAAATGTCTTAGTCCTCAGAAGAAAGGGCAACAGAAACTGAGGTACACTGGTGAAAACTCACTACAGCTGGGGGAGAAAATTGAAAAAAAAAAAAAAAAAAAGTCTAACCCGGGAGGGGCAGGAAAATGTGCTAAGCCCACCTGGGTTAGAACACAGGAGGAGAGGCAGGTACACTTGTGAAGGACACACCTCCAACACTCAGGGTAAGCCTGCCTAAGACTGAGACTTAATGAGAATAGCATAGAATGTCCCAGGTCCCCATTCTCCCACTACCAGGCTAAAAAGCATCAGTAAAAATAACAGTGGAATACATCTATACGAGATTTAAGGCATATATTATCTCCAGGGTGTAGCACAAAGGGAAGAATCAAGGCAAGGAATAAAAACAATGTCTGAAGAGAAAAGCAATCATTAGGACCAAAATAAGTTATGACACAGATGTTGGAAATATCAGACAAGGAATCTGTTTATTTACTTGGATACATTACAGATTCAGGGGTTATATGTGCAGGTTTGTTACCTGGGTATATTGTGTAATGGTGGGGTTTGGGCTTCTAGTGACCCCATTACCCAAATAGCGAACACAGTACCCAACAGGTAGTTTTTCAACTCTTGCTCCCCCCTGCCCATTCCCCCTTTTGGAATTCCCTTTGTCTACTGTTTCCATCTTTATCAGATAGGAAACTTAAAATAGCTATGATTAGTATGTTAAAGGCTCTGTTGGGAAAGTTTATCATGCAAGATCAGATAGGTAATTTCGGCAGGGGGGTGAAAAGTATAAGAAAGAATCAAATATAAATGGGAGAGAAAAAAACACAGTAACAGATCTGAAGACTATCCTTGATGTGCTCATCAGTAGATCCGCACAGCTGAGTCATCAGTGAACTTGAAGACAGGTCAATAGAGATCACACAAACTGAAATGCAAAGAGAAAAAAAAAGAGCAAAAAAAAAAAAAAAAAAGAAAACAGAACAAAACATCCAAGAACTGTGGGACAATATCAAACAGTATAACATATATGTATTTGGAACACAAGAAGGGGAAGAAAGAATAAGGCAGAAGAAATATGTGAAGACAATAATGGCCAAAATTTTCCAAATTAATGACTGACACCAAACCACAGATTCAAGAAGCTCAGAGAACACCAACCAGGGTAAATACAAAGACCAAACCAAAACCCACACCCAGATATAACAAATTCAAATTACAGAAAATCAAGACAAAAATAAAATCTTGAAGACTGCCAGGAAGAAGGCGGTAGGTGGGGAACATCTTACCCACAGAAGAACAAAGAGAAGAATTATACCAGACTTCTTGTCAGAAATCACATAAGCAAAAAGACAGTGGAATGAAACCTTTATAAGTTTTGAAAGAAAAAAATGCCAATCCAGAATTCCAAGTTCTGCAAAAATATCCTTCAAAAATTAAGACAAAATGCTTTTTCGGACAAAAACTGAGGAAACTCAGCATCAGCAGACCTGTCTTACAGTCTAAATATTAAAGGAAATTCTTCTGACAGAGGGATATGATATAGGTCAGAAAATTGGGTGTACATAATTAAAGGAAAAGTGTTGCAAAAGTAATAAATGAAGACAAATATAACTATCATATTCTTAATTGTTCTAAAATATAACTCATTGTTTAAAGCAATAATAGTACCAATGTATTGTATGTTTATAGCATTTGCAAAAAAATAATAGAATACAACAATGACACAAACAATGGAAGGAAGGAATTGGGGATAGTCTTGTACTACACATGAAGCAGTACAGTATTATTTAAAGGTGAACCAAATTATATAAAAATGTACATTACAAACTTTCCGGAAACCACTAAAAAGGTTTCCTTAAAAGATGTCTAAATAATAAATAAATACATGAGACAAAATGGGATCATACAAAATGACCAAATAAAATAATGAAAGGCAGAAAAAAGAGGGAAAAAGGAAACAAAAGCCAAATACAGTAAATAGAAAACATCAAGAATAAATATAATGAAAACAGAAAGATGGTAGATTTTAATCTAACTATATTGATAATCACTTTAAATGTGAATCAACTAAATATTCCAACTAAAGACGGAAGTGGTCAGATTAGATTAAAAAGTAGGATCCAACTACATGCCGTTTACAAAACATATATAGTTGGGTCCAATTCTCAGACCTTTTATCTCTCACTAACTCAAATATAAAATTCTGATAGAATGCATGAACAACTATATGAAAATTGAAAGGTAAATCTAAGTAGGTAGATCAGAGAAGACACCAGAGTTTGAAGTACCAACTAAACAACTGCAAATTCAGCATTACTTTTCTCCCCATTCAGTATCCTGAGCCTGAATTCAACATGGTATGCAATTCAAAATGAGCATTGTCTAGCAGACAGAGATGCAGGAGAAGTCTTGGAGTTTGGGCTCAAGGAATGTAACAGAGAACTAAAATTCAGAGAGAGTGGGGGAAATCCCTTGGGTTTTTATTTACTCCTCCTTTGGTTCCACAGTGGAGGTAGTAAAAGCAAAGGTGGCTCAGAAGCAATAGTGGCCCAGAATGGGAGCCTCCAGGAATCAAAACTGTGTGGGATAAGTTCCTTCCTCTAGGTGAAGCCACGATGTCAAGAAGACATCTTTATACTAGTTTTCCCTCTTCCTCTCCCTCTCCCTCTCTCGTTCTCACTCTCTCCTCTTGCTACTTGTTTCTGGAAATGCTACAACCATGACAGTGGGTAGTTTTTGAAGAGAAAACAGAAAATGAGAGCCCAGGGAACTGGAAAGTACTGAAAAGATAAAGGAGAGGGAAGAGTTTTGAAAAAGCAACAGTGTAAAGTTGATTTGAACCCCTGGGCTTACCTCTGACTTGTGACTGCTTTGATATTCATTAGCATACCAAAGATTTGGAAACTCAACTAGAAAGGACACCTCCACCCAAGTCTCAGACTGACCACTAGATGGTACACATGCAGGACAGACCTATATGGTACTGCAAAAGGTTTGAAAACTGAATTGATTTTGGAACCAAAATATACAAAAGGCTAAAACAAAAATATAGACCTTCTCCACAGGATATAAACAAGATACAGAATCTCAAGACAATACTCACAATGTCCAGGATACAAACTACAATCAATCAGCATGCAAATAACCATAAACATTTCAATTAACATGGAAAAAGACAACAGACATGAATGATGAGATAAGACATTAAATTATCTTAAATTAGCTATTATAAAAATGCTTGAATGAACAATAACAAGCGATTTTGGAACAAATATTTAAAACAGAAGCACTCAGTGAAGAAACAAGATATAAATAAGAATCACATGGATATTTTGAACTAAAAATATAATAGCTGAAATAAAAGCTCAGGAATGAAAGAGTAGATAGAAATTTCATAGGTATTACAATGACAAGAGTATGTAATAGCAATTCTAAACACATAAATTTGACAACATAGATGAAACAAATTTCTCAAAAAGCACAAACTGGCAAAACTTATCCAAAATGTAACAAATAATCTAAATAATCTAAATCCTTCTATAAATATTACTGAAATTGAATTTGCAATTAAAAATCTTCCCCCAAAATACCCAGGTCCAGACAGTCTCAATGGCAAATTTTACCATTCATTTAAAGAAGAAATAGCATCAATTCTATACAATCTCTCTATGAAGTTAGGAGACAGGGAAATACATATCAACTTACTCTGTGAGGCCAGCATTTCCCTGATATAAAAACCAGAAAAATAAGTGGTACAAAAAAAGAAACTACAAATCGATATCCCTCATGAACATAAACATAAGAATCCTAAAAAAATGCCAATGAAATTTGGCTATATATAAAATAGATAATTAATATACCACAAGAAAGCATGGTTTATCCCAGGAATACAAGACTGGTTCAACATATGAAAATCAATCAAAGCAATCCATTTTAAAGATGTAAAACTCCATGGTATGGTTTGAATGCATCCTCCAAAGTTCATGTGTTGGAACTTAATCTCCAGTGCAACAGCATTGAGAGGTGGGAACTTTAAGAGGTGATTCGGTCATGAGGGCTCTACCTCTAAGGCTTCTGCCCTCATGAATGAATTAATGGCATTATTGATGGAATGGTTTAGTTAACTCAGAAAATAGTTCCTGATAAAAGGATAAGTTTGGCTCCCACACTCACATGCACAGGCACGCACATAAGCACACTCTCTCTGGCCCTTTCACCTTCCACCATGGGATGATGCAGCAAGAAGGCCCTCACTAGATGTGGCCACGTGATCTTGGACTTCCCAGCCTCCAGAACTGTAAGAAATAAATCTCTATTCTTTATAAATTAGCCA